CAGTTCCTTTTTTCCCAAGAGCCAAAAGGAAAAGGCTCCTCCCAACAAGATAAACAAGCCACCCACCCGTACCCTCAAGCAAACACATCAGGAAAGAGGTGCCGGCTTTGTGTTGTGCCCTGGAGGTTTCCAGCCTGGTGTCTCTTGCAGTGAGGGCCATGGGCCATCCCAGGCAGGGTCTGGGACTCTCAGACCCAGCAGTATGTGATGCCTGGCTCCTCCCTTACCCCCTCACCAGAGAGACCACCAGGGCAGTATGGTGCCCAAGGAGCCAGGCATTACAGACTGCTCTCCATGGCCTGCAGGGGCTGATCCAGTTCCTGTTGAACTGGTATCAAGTGATTTCTACGGCTGAAATGTCTTTTAGACTAATAGTGTGGCATGGTTTTGATTTAAAAAGAAAAAAAATATCCATTGACCTAGGGACCTTGAAACTTGTCAAATTTGTCTTACAACCTGACCCCAAGACCATTAAAGTCAGTTTAAAGTCCCCCTTTGATTCCTTCGAACTTTAGATTGGCCCTTGGCAAATGTTTCAATTAACCTTTGCCAGGTTCCATGTTTGTAATGAAATCTAAATTCATGTTAGTTTTGTGCAGTTCCCATTTCTATAACAAATGTTCTTCACTGCCTTGTTTCCAATAAAGAGATGTTCTCAGGCCCCATAGACCAAGTACAGCCTTAGATAAGAGAAAAATCAGGGGCCACGTGGGACCTGTGTTTAGAAGGATGCCATAGCAATGTCAGAAACAAGATGGTTATTTATCAGAAGGTCCCAAAACCACTTTTCACCTCAGTATGCTTATCCTTTTACCTCTGTAGAGAAACAGTCCTGTTACTGGGGAGCAGCACTGGGCTCACTGACTTGGTTACTACCTGAGGAGGGAGGAAAGAATTGCATTGAAGTAAGAAATGTCTCTAAGGCCAAAAACCAGGCAATGAGACACTCATCCAGGCTCAGACAGAGAAACAAGAGAGCACAGGAGAACCAGGTGCCACCAGTCAAGTGGTAGAAGACAACTGTCTACGTGGCAGCTCTTGAGCTGCACAAAATGTGAGGTCATTCACACCAGCACAGACCTCTCTCTTCCACGAGGATGCAGAGATCTCAAATTATCCCACATTTGCCACCTTGCAAATCATCAGGGACAGTTGCCATGGATCAGCAGACACCTGATAACTTGTTAGCCAGCAGTGAGTTCTTCATGTGTTCAAACTCGTGATCTCCCTTGAAACTGAAAGGTGCTCTGCAATGTTTTGGAGTGTGCCAGGCTTCACTCAAATGCTGTTTACCTCTCTTTGATGCCCCTTTATTGCTATTTATTTCTAAGAATACCTTCAAAATTGCAGTTCCTGCCATTTTTTTATTAACTGGAATTTCTTGATATTCACCTGCTGAGTGGAGTGATTATTTCAGAATACCCTGAGTGCTTGCCCCTCTCCTCACTGCAGCTTAAGGACTATCTTTTTGGAGGCTGCTTTTTCTGGAATGGCTGTGTTTGGTGGTACCTCTGAGTGGGAATAAATTACTTCCTGATGGGCTGTGAAAACTGGTCCTTCAAAACACCAATATTAATCAGGCTCCAGCACTTATCTTTTGTATTGCGGCCGCTTGTCTCCCTCATCCCACCAGAACCAAGAGAGCTTAAATTAGCTTTCAAGGACACAAGTCCTACATCATTTTCACTTCCATTCAATTTTGTTTACTTTCTGAACAGTGTTGGCTCAATAGTACCCTGGTATTCCCATCCAGTGCTTACTCAAGATTGGTCTGCAGAGCACATCTTCTGATCATGACTTGGACTTTCGATTTGTCAGCCACAAAGGGCCATGATATGAAAATGATAACAAGTTTTGGTGCCTTCTAGAATAAAACCTTGCACAGGCAGAAGCCACAGGATGTGCCAGAGCAGAAAGGCAGGCTGGATAGCACATAGCATATGGGAGACTTGGAGAAATGGATTTGGAGCAAATCTAGCTTCCACGGCAGCCAGCAGCAGTGTCAGGTCCTTGGGTATGTTCTGCCAAGGAACCTTCTGATGATGATGATGATGATGATGATGATGATGATGATGATGATGATGATGCTCATATCTTACTATCACAGAGGAGTTTTCTGAGGGCTAGAACAGCGTGGCACTCTGGTTGCCATTGTCACTCTTCTGCTTTTGAATGCCATTTCAGTCCTGTGTGCCATGTTCAGTGCAGGTTTCCACAGAAGTAATGGTACATGCTAATAATAATACATGCTAATAGTAAATGCTTCATGTTCTGCAGAAGGATGACTGAACACACTGAAAACCCTTGCTGAGGTGCAGTTTGGGTACCTTTCTTTACTGGCAGTCAACTAGTAAACTAACAAGATATCAGCTGAACAAAAATTCCTTTCACTCAGGGTTTAAGGCCCCATTTTTTGAGGAGTGTGACAAATGTGGCCGAAGAAACCATCTTAGCTAGTAACACACTACAAAAGATGGATTTAAGAAAAATACAGTATTCTTTACAAACCCCAAGATAATTGTGTTGTGTTAGAGAACTCTTTTCAAGAAAAAAATTGGCTTGATATAAGGTAAATCCTTATGTCTGAGTCAGGGTGGTTAAAACAATAACAACAACAAAACCCCTATAAAGCAAGAATTGAACTAAAAGGACAAGCAGGAATAAAGGGTAAAAGCAAATGCAAAACATACGGAGCCTTGGAAAGTACAGGAAAGCAGAAAAAGCCTATAAATACTTATGTCAATAAAACAAGCCACTGGTCCTCATTTAATTAGCAATTTTTATTAACAGTGGTTTGTTGACTTGTGCAGTGTTTACCTAGGGCCCACATAAAAAGCATTACAATCAGGAGATAGTGGCATTTTAATCCCCGTATTCCCAGAGTGGAAATGAAAGTGCTAAACTGGTCATTTGTGTGCATCAATAGATCAGGGGCAGAGAGATCACCAATCTTTGTATTTTCCTCAGGAGTCAGGACACAGAGGGTATAGCCATGGGCCCAGCTAAGCTGCAGCTTGAAGAGAGGCAAGAGGTAAAATAACTTTGGCAGATGTCATTTCATCTGTTGCACATAGATTCATAAGACTACAGCCAGCAAAACAACTGCTGGCTCCCAGATCCATCTCTTCCTGCTAGTCATCTAGCAGGATACAAGCCTGAGGTCACATATTTTATTTCCAATCTTTGAACTCAAAACCCATTAATTATAAAGTTCTGTCTAATCTAAAATGTAGAATTCCATTCCAGCAAAGAAAATCTTCTGGAGATTTTGGCCTGGAGGTACAGGGCCAGAACCCGCCTCACCTGGTTTATTTGTCACTGTGCTGAGTACTAGAGTGATCCTCCTTACTCTCTCTCTGTTGGCAAAAGAGGAAACATGGTGGTCCATGATCATTTATTTCAGCAAGTCCTTTCTAGAATTCAGAAAACATTGCTCTCTGCCCTATTTCTGCTTCCCCTTAATCTGAGGTCAGGCAGGGGTTGAGCCGCATCCAGAGCTGTCTTTAAAGGTCAAAAAGAAGTGTTAGATGAGGCTGCTCAGGGTGACCCCAGGGGATCAGTGCACTGCTGGGGCTTGCTGGTCCCTCTCCACAGAAAGGTCTGTGCTACAGGGCAGGAGCCTGGTGACAGAGAGCTTGTGACACTGCAGGTACAGGGAGGGTTTCCCCTCCATCCTCCCTGCCCCAGGTGAGCTGTGTAGGGGAGGTCAGCCAAGGCCACGTGTCCGGATGGTGTGGGAAGTGACCAGGATATTGTTTGCAGTCCTGCCTGCACCCAGCATGGCTCATCCCCATTGCTGCTGGATCCTCACGGGCTGCGTGGAGTGGAGGAATTTGTGCACGGAAGGCTGGGGTGGCAGGAATGCAGCCTGTCTGGGTTACAGTACCTGCAACCCCTAATTAGTCAGATACTTCCAAGTCAGACGCTGGTGACTAAATGGGTGTGGACTGAAATCCTCTTCCTGGTGAATGGCTGGGCTCCAAGGGGTTGGCATGTGTCTGGGATGGGTTATCTGGTGTGGGACAGTCCACTGACAGGTCTGCTGAGGCATCACAGGGGTTTCTTGTGCCTGCCACATCCCAGCTCTCCTCCTGTCACCCTCAGCATGCCGAGGTTTCAGGTTGTCCAGTCAGGTCCAGCAAGGCCTCCCTTGACATCAGCTGGGGCCACTGGAAGCTCCTGGCCTTGTCCCAGGCTCACAGGACTCTCACAGCCCTGGGATCTGTGGCTCTGGAGCCACCAGCACGACTGTCCCTTCAGCCAGCCCGGAGCAAGCATCCATCCTTCAAAGGGCACCCCATGGCTGATGCTGACATCTTTCCACTACCTCAAATAATACAACTCTCACACCTCAGCCCACTGCAGTGGGCAATGAAAACACAACTTTTTTTTCCATCTTATGGTTTCCTCAAGAATGAAGGAGACTAAGCTGTCCTGGGTGCAGAAGTCAGTGTCAGAATTTCTGACTTGCTGCTGGGGCTGGGCTGGGTGTGAGACATACCTGTTTGCTGATGGCATTAATGACCTTTACCTCCAGGAGCAGGGACAGGAGGGATAACTCAGAAGTGGCTTTAATGGGCGACCATAAATATAATGGGAGACTTGCAATCCATAATTATCTATCTAATCCATCCATCTGTTGTACACACATTTCATCGATTATACACATACACACACACACATAACATATATCTGAAATGTGTATATATATTTGTAAAATGCTTGACAAATCATCCACGAATTGGAAGATTTATCCTACTTGTCACAGCTGCTCAGGCTGCTGTTTCCATTACAGCTATTCTTTTCCAGCGTGCCTAACTTTCTTCAACGTGGCACTTTTATGCTGGCATTTAAACGTTGTGTTTCAGCAGAGTCTGAAATGAAGAATAGGGAGAGACCTCATTTGACCAGTTTTACATTCGGTAAAAATGAAAAATTACTTTTTCCACGTTTTTGTGGTAATAACAAACTCCTGTGCTCTGTCTGACTGATGATGAGACAATTTACCTGGGAGGCATTGTGATTCTGTCAGCAAAATAAAGCATGAAACTTCTGTAAGTATCCCTGGTCCTTGCTGCCTCAGGGGAAAGGAAAGGGAAAAAAAAGCAAATAAGACTATTTCCTTCCAAGGGAAGGAAAGAAAATGTATGCAAAAGAAAAAACCTCTATGTCTAGGGTTATTAGCACTATTTGTAAATATTCTCCAAGCTTAGAGCCTTTTCCTTCCTTCTTTTCAATAAGAAGAAAATGTGGGGAGGGATTTTGTCTCATTCCATGAGAAGACTTGAGCTGTTTCATTGTAGTGGGGATGCCATTGCCCTGCTAACCCCCTGCTGCAATGCAGCATTGGCAGACAAATAGGAGAGCTGTGAGGGGTGTGAGGGCAGGGTGACACTAAAAGCTGAAAGTTTGAAACAGCACAGTTTCAAAAGGTTCAGCTGCATATCAAAGGAAATAAGCATTGATTTAGGTGATGTCTTTCTTTTCTGTTACCAATACCAACACAATTCTGTGGAAGTAGGGGTGCAAAGAGTACCTCTCCCTCAGTGTGTGAGCTGGGCTGCTCTCTGTCCTGCCTTGTGCAGGAGCTCAGAGGGATGCTCAGCAGGCTCCCTGCTCTGGAGAGCTTTAGGTCCAAAAGGTGTGCATGGGAAAGAACTACAGGTGTGCCTGTGGCCAAGATAACATTGTCTTAGAGCTTTAACTCTCACATTTCCCTCTTCTGTAGCCAAAAGCCAGACATGCCAGGACAATAGCTGCAAGGCAGGAGATGCTGAGCCAAAGTTTGCTGAGGCTGAGCAAATATTTCTAACTTTGGGATCACTGTGTGCATGTTCTGTGCTTTGCTGTAAATGGGTTAACTGTACTACTTAATTAGTGGTTTGCTTTTTTTTTTAACTTAGAGTTAGGATTAAAAACATGAAGGAGACTGATTTCTCGTGTTCGGACTTGGTTGTTTATTAAATCTTATTTAAAGTACAGGGAGTTTTGCAACACTTTTAGCTACCAGCTAAAAGCAAGCAAAATGGAGACAAATTTAGCTAGTTACAAGGTCTTTTAATGCTAAACAGTTCTATAAAGAACTAACAGCTGTATTATTTGTATTTTTGACTTAGTAACTAAACTCCTATGACTCAGTGCAGCACGAACTATTTAACTAAAAATTACTATTTGAAAGCATGAAGAAGAAGGAAGAAGACAGAAAGAGACAATACTCAAAAACCTTTATCTTGTCCTACACCTATTACTATATTTTAAAAACCTCAAATTCAAAACCCTTTACCATGTGAAATCACACACTTTTATTTTAACTACACACACGTGTCTCTATTACTCAATTTTAGAAGCTTTCTCTAAGGTCTCAAGTCAAAAGTAGTGTTCTCTACTAAGTAGTGCTAGAAAGCACAGAAAATTCAAAACTCCCAGGTTTCTGGGTTCCAATACTTTGCAATCCTCCCTGTGCAGCTGTGGCCAGATGCTGATGGAGACAAGAACAGTGGGTTAGAACAGAACAGAATAGAATAGTATATTCCAATTGGAAGGGACCTGCAATGATCCTCTGGCCCAACTGCCTGACCAGTTCAGACACATCTCTGATATGAACTGACACAGCAGGTCTTATTTTCTGATGGTATCTGTCAAATCTAGCACCTCTCTGTTTAGGCATATTACAGTGTACAAGGTGCCTGCCCAGTCCTTTTTAAACTGCATTGGAAAGGTGTGAAATTTCCCAAACTCCTCTGGGAAAAACAAGGTGTTGTTACTGCTGCTGCCCCAGGTACCAGGCAGTGCCTCCATGACCGAGCTGGTGGTTGGGATCAGGAGGCTGGCCTTCACTTGAGGCTGCAGATGCTGGAAGCCAGGCTGAGGAAGAGGAGACCTGGGGGCTTTGAAGGCAGCATGGTATCAGTGTAGAAGGTATGTGAGAGCTGAGGGTGGATAGGTAGTGAATAGTGGATAGTGAATTTGGGCTTTACTGGTGATTGCAAGATATTGAAGGATTGCCCTGATAAGAAAGATGTTTCTGTAAGCAGGAACTGGATTTTTTTTTTTTTTTTTTTTTTAATAATTGGGCTTTCCTGACTTGAGCATACAAGTCAATCTTTCTGTGTGTAAATTAGTCTTAGCTGGTGATTTAGACCTACCAAAGGTCCCATGCTGCAGCAGTGCAGCCGAGGTGCAGTGATCACACAGCTCAGTGTGGGTGGATGGGATGGAATAGTCCATCCCGGCCTGGTCCTGGGACTGAGATGGGCTGGAATAGCAGAGGAGGGTCAGCAGGGTCCCAGCAGGGCTTCTGCCCATCCTGTGAACACCTGCAGTTAGAGGTGTCTGCCCAAAAAGCTGGCACTGCCTGTGTCTCTGGCGTGAAAGCAGCACCATAAGGGAGGGCGCAAATCTCTTCATGCCACTGGGCTACCAAACTGTGACCCTCTTCTGAAAGGGTCCTCCCTCCCCACTTGAGCTGGGTGATCAGCTAGTCCAGGCAGCACACACGGGCAGCTCCTGCGGGCTCCATCCCTGGGGATGGAGCAGGGAGAGCCGGGGGCTGAGGCAGCAGAACGATACCTCGGGCTAAAATAGATCCCCGAGCATGCAGGAGCCTGATGCCAGCAGCCCCCCTCCCTGGCTGTGGGATCTGGGAGTTGCCCAGCAGCTTTTCTGGCATGCCCCGGTGCTGGCCACGTCCATAATCCCGGGGCAGGAGCCGTGCTTGAACTGCATGTGAACCGTAAATCCGCGCTCCTAAAGCTGGGGGCAGTTCCCGCTGGCACGCCTGCTGCGGCGGCTCAGCCTGGACCCGGCACTGCCGCCCACAGCAGCCGGCTCATTTAAATTGCTTTATAAATGGGCCAAAGAGCTCTGGCTCCAGCCTTCATCTGAGTAATAAATACACAATAAAGCAGCCTCAGTGGCTGAGGGAGGCCAAACAATCAACACTTCCAAAACGGGGAGGATGCTCTTACTGAAAAGAGCTCGTCTTTTGTAATGTTTTAGCCCTTTTCTGCCCCTTTTAAGGATTTCTCCCGGAGGAGATGAAGTAGAGGCTATGTTTAGCCAGCTGTATGCCCAGATGGTCACTACACTTATGAACAACATCCCTTAGAATAATTGTATTAAGTCTTCTTTGGATTTTATACTCTTGGGATTTTGTTTTTTTTAATTAAAAAAAAAAAACAAAAAACCCCAACTCTAGAATTAATAGTTTGGCACTTCTGCATTTGATTACTGTATTAAGAAACCAGCTAGTGTCTGACAGGTTTTTGTGGCTGCCTCCAAACACAAGACATCACACAGAACTATGACTTCCTAATGAAAAGCTGGAAAGTGTATAATTGAGGCTGAGGTGGGATGTGCTGATGTGCCAGAAAGGACATTTGAACCCTGCTATACCAGTATGCCCACATGGATTTGATTCCATATTCACCAGCCAGGTGAGGAGCTCATCTCACATGGATGAGAAGAGCCAGTGAAGAGTTCCCATCCTCCTGTTAAGCAGCGCACATGGGAATGAATGTGTGCTCTATTTGGCTTGCAAATTTTACATCACCTATTGCATTTCCACTCACTTCTTTCTTTGGGGAGAGAGAAAAGAAAGCAACCAGGGAAAAGAAAGCAACCAAAGAAAAGAAAGCAACAAACAAGAGAGATCAATGAACCATGGCAGAGCACTCTGCTGCACACACACCTCGCACCCGCCTTGGGAGAAGGCAGGGAAGGGTGGGGGGGATGAGGGGATTAATGAAGGCAAAGCCACACAGTTCAGTTAAGAAACGTGCTGAGATGACAGTGATGGTGGGAACTGGCTAAAAACTTTCCAGGAAGACCATTTGGAAGGGCATGTGAGTTTTAAAAGCTAGCATGCACTTTCCTGGTGCATCCCAGTGGATCACAAAGTGCTTGGCAAGAAAGAGCACTCCCTCCTGTTAGCAAACTCCTGTCTGATGCCACCTATTCTACAGACAGGGACCTGAGGCACAGAAAGGTTATTGCAAGGAGAAATTAACTTCCATTAGGGAAAGATAGTGATTGCAGAGATCTAACCATAATGGTCAGGAGGCCCTTGCTCAAAAACTTACATTTGTATTTATTATTGCAGTGTTGGAAAAGCCATGAATAGAGGCATAAAAAGGATCTGCAAAACATCCGCCCCACACCAGGATCACCAATACTTCTCTGCAACCCATCATAAACTGTAGTCAATGGCCTGCAGCCATAAGTGTTCTATTCAGTAAAAAGCAGCTGAAAAGGGCATGACTGGTGGTCTGGGTCCTTGTGATAGCAGGAAATGTACAAAATTGCTAAAACAGATGAGAACACTGTCTGTTACTCCAGTGAGATCTTTGACACCAAAGATGTCCTGCATGTAGTGCATGGGAGATTAGATCTGTGTTTCCCTGAAGCCATAGCAGCCTACAAAACATCACGCCAAAGGCAAAACCAGCTGTTCCTGGCCCAGGAGACCCCAGCAAAAAACAGCTGTCTAGTGTCAGAGGAGCAGGAGTGTTGCTCTGCCTCATGTTTGGTAGTTGGCCTCTGAAAGGTGGCTGCTGCAGGACTGCCCAGGCCTGGTGTGGCCTCAGCCCAGAGGCTGCTCTGGAAGCTGGGAACGAGACTGCAGCAGCAGCCTGTCAGTCCCTGCCACGGCCCTTGTTTGGATGCTGTGCGGGAGTTTGGCAGATGTGGTTCCTGAATAGCCACTCCATTCCTCAAGAGCCCTGGTGGGATGGCTTTGCTGCCCCTCTCTGTTCCTGCACCACTGCAGGCAGCTACAGCAACCCCCATAACTGAGGCTACTGGCATTATCCTCCCACCACACATAGGATTCCTGTCTCTAAAACAGAGCAGGAATGAGATTAGCATCTTCTCCCCCTCTTGCTATGCCAGCTTTTGACAGACAGAGGGATGGGGGAGTAGAAAATGGGGTAAAGATAGAGCTGTGTGTTTTGATAGGAATTGTCATTGCCCTGATAGCAATGAGGTTATGTGGGGACATGGTGGCCCTG